TTAAAGACTAACAGATTTATTTGGGCATAAGCTTTCGTGAGTTAAAACCTCACTTCTTCGGATGCAAGAAGGTGCCACCAGACTCCTTGTTGTTTTAGTATGAATCCTGTTAGTTGGATGCATGACTATACATTACCGTTATCATTAAATAGATGCAAACAATTTAGGACTACTAGACAATTGTGCCTCACTTCAAAACCTTTCTTCGATGTGGCCTGTTTTTAATATTTAAAAAAATTGATTGCAGTGGTCACTTGTCATCTCTGTAGAAGGTAATGAGATTCTCAGAAGCAGCAGGAAAGCAGTTTTCCCAGAAAGCAGAGGTGTGGGTGTTGGAACAGTGGTTGCTGATTAGGCTCTTCCTGCTTTCAGAGGTCTAGATTCATGTTCATGCCCAGGTAAATTACATGCTTTATACTGGATAGGGGTGTATGCTTTATATCTGGATAGGGATTTCTAGGCTGTTTAGCCCTGAATTTAGAACTGGTAATTGTGTGTGTGAAGTGTAACTCCATCTCTGGGAAAACCATGCTTCAGACTCTGTTCAGCTTGTAAACAATTGTCTTCATGGGCATCTGCTCTCTTTGAAAAATGAGATAATGATTAGCCTTTTCACATCTAGGTGTCTGGTTCAAGTCTAGCTAAGGTTGGTAGTGCTCGAGAGGCTAGTTGTCTGGTCACTTATGAGAAACGAGTTGGCGGTGCTGTATAGTGGATAGATTTTTAAGGCACGAAGGGACCAATATGGTCATCTCCAGTCTGACTTCCTGCATAACGAAGGCCAAACACCCTCACCTAGTAATCTCTGCATCAAGCCCATAACTTCTGTTTGAGCCAGAACAGAAGCTTTAGTAAGACATCCAGTCATGATTTCAAGCCTTCAAATGTCCCTATGTCAGTTGTTCTAATGATTAATTACCCTCATGGTCAAAATTCTCACCTTATTTCTAGTCTGAATTTGTCTGGCTTCAGCTTCCAGCCACTGGATTTAGTTAGGCCTTTATCTGCTAGATTTTAAAGTGCTCTACTATCAGAAAACTCTTCCCCATGTAGGTACTTGTAGAACATAATCAAGTCACCTCTAATTCTTCTCTTGGATAAACTGAATAGATCGAGCTTTGTAAGTCTCTCACGGTAAGGCATATTTTTTAGACTTCATATTGTTCTTGTAGCTCTTTTCAACATTCTTTATGAAGTGTGGACACCAGAACTGGACACGGTATTCCCGTAATGGTCTTGCTAATACAGTACAAAGAGGTCATACCATCTCCCTACTCCTACTTGATATTCCCCTGCTTATACATTCAAATATTGTATTTAACCCTCTTAGCTATAGCATTGCACTGGGAGCTCATGTTTAACTGGTTATGTACCTTTACTCCGAAGTCCTTTTCAGTGTTCCTGCATTCCAGGATACAGTCCCCTGTCTCGTAAGGGTGACCCGCATTCTTTGTTCCGAGACATGTGACCTTGCATTTGGTTGTATTGAAATATCTTTTGTTCAGATTAGAGCCCTGTGACCTGACCTGAACCCGAGTGGGACCCTGACTACGAGTGTCAGGTCTGGATTGGGTGGGAAAAGAACCAGACCCTCTCAACATCAGGTCAGATCAGGTCGACTCCCCTTCTCCTGCCCATGGGGTCTTCATGGCAATGGCTGACAGCTGTATGCCCTGCTCCTGATGTCCATTGCCCCCCGCTGCATAGGTGCATGGTGTGGAGCGAGTATGCCACTGCACATATGCAGTGTAGCAGGGGGCAGCGAATGGCAGGAGCAGTGTGTGTGCAACTGCCGGTGTATGCTACCCTGCTGACCCCATGGGCAGGAGGCAGCAACGGTCTCAACTCAGATTCAGGGAGGAGGGGGAAGGTTTGGAGTTGGTTTGAAAAATGATGTGACCTGGTTGGGTTGGGGTGGACTTAGGCCTAAAGGTTCAGTCTGATCAGACCTGTAGTTCAAATGAGTCTATTTTACCAAGCCAGACGAGTGATTGTTTACCCATCCACCAATTTTTGTATTGTCTGCAAATGACCAGCAATGAAAAGTGGGCAGCCTCTTCACTTTGACTTAAATTCATCTTCTGTTTCTGTCTTCATGTTAATAACAGGTGCCTGTGCGCCTGCTTTCCTGTACCTTATTCTGACTTGTGTCCATACTATGAGTAAGGAAAAGGCTATGCCTTCCTGTTTCTGCTGGGAGAAATGCCGGACCTTGGTGGGATGCCTTGTATGAAGGGAATCCGTTTGTTCCTCCTTATGGCATGGCCCAAATAAAGTAAAGATCCTTGCTCCTGTTAACATTATTGTTGTGATACTCCTTGGATAACAGCTGTGGTACACAGCATTCAGAAAGTACAGCATCTAGTAGTTCTTGCACTAACTGAGTAGCTAAACTGCAATTGCTGACTTACACTTTGCTTCCCCCATTTCTCTACATTTCCTTGAAAACTTGCTGGCTGTGGCCTGGAAATCACTTGACCAGTGTTGTAAAGCTTTCTCTCTCTGGCGGGGATGTGTTGAAAGGAAAGATCCCAGTGCCTGATTGCATTGCAGTAGGATAAATGTTTT